TCACACCCTCTCTTAGGGGGGCCTTTTTTTTTTTTTTTTTTTTAAAGGGGGAGCCCCCGCTATTACATGGGTGCCAATCGCACGCTTCCCAGCACGCATGCAATAGGATATTTGGGGAAACCTGTCAGAGTTGGGGCACGCAGAGCACTCCCGCAGGAGGATAATGCGATACCTAAGAGAAGCGCAAGCATGAAGGCATACCACAGAAAGGCAACAGAAAGGCTCCTAGCGATGGACATGTCCCAAGCACCAGAGGGTAACCTCATCCCCAGAGGCGCACTCCAGCCCGCTGGCAACGCAACACCGCTGAGGTGACGTTGGAGGACCCACGGGGCAGGTCTAGGGCTCTTGCAGCTGGAGGCAGGGGTCACAGCAAAGCAGGCAATCATCAATCACTGGCAGGCAATTATGGATGTGCGGGCAACCAGTGGTGGAACAGACATGAAAGGCACGTTAACACGGTCGGCCGACAGGGATAGAACAGGATCGCGTTCGGACCCATTACCACTAGGGGCCGCTCGGGGCTAGCAAGGGGACCCTAAACTATGCCTCAATCTGCCAGCAAGGTGGGGCACAAGCAAACGGTGGCATATGGGAGATTTGAAGCCGGAAATGAGGCGAAAAACAGGTAGGCTGGCGAGAACTCGACCAGATACACACACCCAACCACATCGGAGGCGGGGATAGGCAGGAGGCATCATGGGCCTTTGCGATAGGTGCTCTGGGCACATGGGCGCTAAGAGCCTTCGTCATACCATAGTCAGGCACGGATGACTAACCTTTCACCAGTCCCGATCCCACCCCGGCAAAGCCCGGCCTGTCGTTCCTTTTTTTTTTTTTTTTTTTTTTTTAAAAGGGGAAGCCCCCGCTATTACACAGGTGCCAGTCGCACGCTTCCCAGCACGCATGCAATAGGATATTTGGGGAAACCTGTCAGAGTTGGGGCACGCAGAGCACTCCCGCAGGAGGATAATGCGATACTTAAGAGAAGCGCAAGCATGAAGGCATACCACAGAAAGGCAACAGAAAGGCTCCTTTTTTTTTTTTTTTTTTAAAAGGGGAAGCCCCCGCTATTACACAGGTGCCAGTCGCACGCTTCCCAGCACGCATGCAATAGGATATTTGGGGAAACCTGTCAGAGTTGGGGCACGCAGAGCACTCCCGCAGGAGGATAATGCGATACTTAAGAGAAGCGCAAGCATGAAGGCATACCACAGAAAGGCAACAGAAAGGCTCCTAGCGATGGACATGTCCCAAGCACCAGAGGGTTACCTCATCCCCAGAGGCGCACTCCAGCCCGCCGGCAACGCAACACCGCTGAGGTGACGTTGGAGGACCCACGGGGCAAGCCTAGGGCTTGCAGCTGGAGGCAGGGGTCACAGCAAAGCAGGCAATCATCAATCACTGGCAGGCAATTATGGATGTGCGGGCAACCAGTGGTGGAACAGACATGAAAGGCACGTTTATACGGTTGGCCGACAGGGATGGAACAGGATCGCGTTCGGACCCATTACCACTAGGTGCCGCTCGGGGCTGGCAATGTGACCCTAAACTATGCCTCAATCTGCCAGCAAGGTGGGGCACAAGCAAACGGTGGCATATGGGAGATATGAAGCCGCAAATGAGGCGAAAAACAGGTAGGCTGGCGAGAACTCGACCAGATACACACACCCACCACATTGGAGGCGGGGATAGGCAGGAGGCATCGTTCCTTGTCTGAGACCCCTTTTGCCTTAGAGCCCTGGGACCACAGATTGCCTACCAGAAGCTTTGCGCCTCTCCTACCTCTAACCTTTGCCAGCGCGGAATGGGGCTCCGAGTCACGTGCTTCCACTGGTCGAGGGACCTGTCGAGCTCGGCCCAACACGGCCCCGGGGGTGCCTCCTTCACCCCTGGGGCACTGGCCTTCCCACCCAGTGCCGGTGGCCTCGCCCACCACCGGACGTGTTTGCGCGGCTCACCCCTTGGGTATCCCTCGGCCAGACGGATCCATCGTGCGCCCCGCTACCTGTGGAGTACCGTTTTTTTTTTTAGGGTTTAGGGTTTAGGGTTAGGGTTAGGGCTCTACCGTGCCGGAGAGCCAGAGCGTTGGCGCAAGCTTACAGAAGACCACCCTGCCCAGGGCTTTAGGCTATCAATAGTTTTCCAGTGATCCTCCGATGTTTCTGTCTCACCGGCAGCCCCAACAATCCCCTTGGCCTGTCATCCGTGGCCTTCTGCCTTAGTGTCTGTCCTCCTCACCATTCACAGTAGTTCATTGAAGGCTATCTGAAGGGTTTAGGGTTTCCAACCCCAGTATCCACCCTTGAACCTGAGCGGGTGTCTAGGACCTTGGACATGATGCCTCCTGCCTATCCCCGCCTCCAATGTGGTGGGTGTGTGTATCTGGTCGAGTTCTCGCCAGCCTACCTGTTTTTCGCCTCATTTGCGGCTTCATATCTCCCATATGCCACCGTTTGCTTGTGCCCCACCTTGCTGGCAGATTGAGGCATAGTTTAGGGTCACATTGCCAGCCCCGAGCGGCACCTAGTGGTAATGGGTCCGAACGCGATCCTGTTCCATCCCTGTCGGCCAACCGTATAAACGTGCCTTTCATGTCTGTTCCACCACTGGTTGCCCGCACATCCATAATTAAATAAAGGACATCAGGGCCCAGATCCTGGCTCTCCAGGCCAAGGTGGTGGGCAGGCTGTTGGAGCCGGAGCAGCTGGCCTGGAAGGCCTACTTCGACCACTGGCTGTACAGGAGCACAGCCTGGCTGGCAGCGCAGGAACCCGGCACGGTGTCAGCGCGGCGGCAGCACATCTGGCAGCTGGGAAGATTCCTGCTCTTCTCCACCTTTGCAGCGAAGCATGTGGAGGCACCGCAGCGCGTCCGGCAGTACCTGCATGCCTACCAGCAGCTGCGGCCCCATCACCTGCGGAAGCCGGAAGCGATCGGCTACGACGCAGTCATGGGTGAGCCCCTGTTCTTCAACAGGCAGCTCACAGATGCAGTCAGGCAGCCCTTTGCCTGGGAGGACTGGGCCAGGCTTGGCCTGGTCAGGATCAGCCACCTGCGCGATGTCGTGCGCGGCCCGGAGCATCCGGATCGGGTGGTGCGAGAGCGCGTGCCCATCCTCCTGGCTGCCTTGCCAGCAGCCTGGAGAGCGCTCATTCAGGTGCAGCCACCGGCCGCTATGTGGTGCGCATTGCCGGACCCGTCGGATCGCCGAGTCTGGTCTCGCACAGCCGAAGGTAGCACCTACCTTCTCAGCCACACAGTAAGCAGCACAGGAGCCCTTGTGCCAGTGGAAGGAGGCGTTGCAGCCATGCACGCATTCCTTCCTCCGGCCGCGCAGCCTGCATTGGTTCAGCACTGGGACATCACCAGGCCCTGGCATCCACGCAGCGGCACACGTCAGCAGCGCCAGCACGCAGAGCAGCTGCACCCAGAGCAGCACCTGCAGGTGGAGCAGCAGACAGGGGAGCAGCAGCCAAGGGAGCAGCTGGAGTGGGAGCAGCAGCTGCCAGAGCCACCGCCACCACCGCCGCCCACACTATACTTCTTTGGCCTCTGGGGATCCCAGGTACAGGACCCTCAGGCTTGGGGGCTCGGCACGCGGCCGGCACATGAGTTTGTAGTGAGGGAGGCCACCGCGCGGCGACAGGTGCTTCACAGGATCAGCAAGGGGGAGGCCAGCCCGGCGGGCCCGCTGCGACCAGCCATCTGGGCTGATACCACAGATGATCAGCGCAGCGGCCTTCGGGCGCTCGAGGCGCGATGGGAGGCCAGGGCTGCAGCTGCTGGTACCGCGTCGCAGGTCTTAGGCAAGAGGCCTCGAGGGCAGCCTGATCCCTCCTCCTGGGCGATCTGGATGGCTGCGCCGCAGCCACGTCCGGTTCCGCTGCGGGACCGCGGCGGGCCTGCGGGCGCGCCAGCGGGCCCTTCACCAGTGCCACAGGGAGCAGCTGTCACTGTTGATCCTGCTGCTGCTGCCACAGCAGACCCATCAGCACCTTGGGCTCATGTGTGGCAAGTGGTGCACGCTTCCCATCTGGACCGGCGGCAGCGCGTGACAGCGTGGAGGCTGCTGCATGGCCAGCTCTTCGTCGGCGGCTTCGCGCGTCACGTCCACCGCGCCGATCCCGCCGGTCACGTTTGCCCGCATCCGAGCTGTGCAGGTCAGCTGGCCACACTCACCCATGTCTTCATCATCTGCCCTCTCGCCGCCGGGGTGTGGGACTGGTTCGCAGCGACATGGGCCGCGGTGACCGGAGACGACGCGCCACCGCGCAGCGCCGACCTTCTTCTCGCCGATGACACCAGGATCTGGGGACCGCCGCGGCAGCTCAGGCAGCTCTGGGATCGCCTGCGGCTCGCTACAATCTGTCAGCTGTGGGCAGCATATCAGCGCGGCCGCCACCAGCCAGATGCGGCGGCGATCACCCCCGGAGCGGTTGCGGCTCGCATCCTGTCTTCCTGCAAGAAGGCCCTGCTTGCCGATTGGCGGCTCGCGACCGTCAGCGTCCGGCAGACAGCAGGTGTGCTCAGCGACTGGCTTCGCGGACGCGACCCGATGATCACCAGGGAGCAGTTCGCGGCGCGATGGTGCCACCGCGCGGTCCTCTGCGCGCTGGAGGAGCTGCCGGGCGCGCAACCTGTCATCCACTGGAGTGCCCAGCATCCCGTGCCGCTTCCAGCGTGACGCTTCCGATCCACCATTCACTGTACCCAGCCGGCCACGGCTCTAACTTGGCTATCTGTATGACCATGCTCTCATTTGGCCTTCTGCCATGACACCCGCTCGTGTCGATTCTTGTGTTGAACTCACACCCTCTCTTAGGGGGGCCTTTGCGATAGGTGCTCTGGGCACCTGGGCGCTAAGAGCCTTCGTCATACCATAGTCAGGCACGGATGACTCACCTTTCACCAGTCCCGATCCCACCCCGGCAAAGCCCGGCCTGTCGTTCCTTGTCTGAGACCCCTTTTTGCCTTAGAGCCCTGGGACCACAGATTGCCTACCAGACGCTTTGCGCCTCTCCTACTTTTAACCTTTGCCAGCGCGGAATGGGGCTCCGAGTCACGTGCTTCCACTGGTCGAGGGACCTGTCGAGCTCGGCCCAACACGGCCCCGGGGGTGCCTCCTTCACCCCTGGGGCACTGGCCTCGCCATCCAGTGCCGGTGGCCTTGCCCACCACCGGACGTGTTTGCGCGGCTCACCCCTTGGGTATCCCTCGGCCAGACGGATCCATCGTGCGCCCCGCTACCTGTGGAGTACCGTGCCGGAGAGCTGGAGCGTTGGCGCGAGCTTACAGAAGACCACCCTGCCCAGGGCTTTAGGCTATCAATAGTTTTCCAGTGATCCTCCGATGTTTCTGTCTCACCAGCAGCCCCAACAATCCCCGTGGCTAACCCGAACTGCGCCAGCATGCCCGCCCTACCTTCCAACCTTCATGTCATCCGTGGCCTTTTGCCTTAGTGTCTGTCCTCCTCACCATTCACAGTAGTTCATTGAAGGCTATCTGAAGGGTTTAGGGTTTCCAACCCCAGTATCCACCCTTGAACCTGAGCGGGTGTCTAGGACCTTGGACATGATGCCTCCTGCCTATCCCCGCCTCCGATGTGGTGGGTGTGTGTATCTGGTCGAGTTCTCGCCAGCCTACCTGTTTTTCGCCTCATTTGCGGCTTCATATCTCCCATATGCCACCGTTTGCTTGTGCCCCACCTTGCTGACAGATTGAGGCATAGTTTAGGGTCACATTGCCAGCCCCGAGCGGCCCCTAGTGGTAATGGGTCCGAACGCGATCCTGTTCTATCCCTGTCGGCCAACCGTATCAACGTGCCTTTCATGTCTGTTCCACCACTGGTTGCCCGCACATCCATAATTGCCTGCCAGTGATTGATGATTGCCTTCTTTGCTGTGACCCCTGCCTCCAGCTGCAAGCCCTAGGCTTGCCCCGTGGGTCCTCCAACGTCACCTCAGCGGTGTTGCGTTGCCGGCGGGCTGGAGCGCGCCTCTGGGGATGAGGTTGCCCTCTGGTGCTTGGGACATGTCCATCGCTAGGAGCCTTTCTGTTGCCTTTCTGTGGTATGCCTTCATGCTTGCGCTTTTCTTAGGTATCGCATTATCCTCCTGCGGGAGTGCTCTGCGTGCCCCAACTCTGACAGGTTTCCCCAAATATCCTATTGCATGCGTGCTGGGAAGCGTGCGATTGGCACCTATGTAATAGCGGGGGCTCCCCCTTTAAAAAAAAAAAAAAAAAAATAATTGCCTGCCAGTGATTGATGATTGCCTGCTTTGCTGTGACCCCTGCCTCCAGCTGCAAGCCCTAGGCTTGCCCCGTGGGTCCTCCAACGTCACCTCAGCGGTGTTGCGTTGCCGGCGGGCTGGAGCGCGCCTCTGGGGATGAGGTTGCCCTCTGGTGCTTGGGACATGTCCATCGCTAGGAGCCTTTCTGTTGCCTTTCTGTGGTATGCCTTCATGCTTGCGCTTTTCTTAGGTATCGCATTATCCTCCTGCGGGAGTGCTCTGCGTGCCCCAACTCTGACAGGTTTCCCCAAATATCCTATTGCATGCGTGCTGGGAAGCGTGCGATTGGCACCTATGTAATAGCGGGGGCTCCCCCTTTAAAAAAAAAAAAAAAAAAAAAAACGTCACCTCAGCGGTGTTGCGTTGCCGGCGGGCTGGAGTGCGCCTCTGGGGATGAGGTTACCCTCTGGTGCTTGGGACATGTCCATCGCTAGGAGCCTTTCTGTTGCCTTTCTGTGGTATGCCTTCATGCTTGCGCTTCTCTTCAGTATCGCATTATCCTCCTGCGGGAGTGCTCTGCGTGCCCCAACTCTGACAGGTTTCCCCAAATATCCTATTGCATGCGTGCTGGGAAGC